ATTTAAAGAGAAAGTGAAAAAAGGAAGAATGAAAAATCATAGAATAAGAAAATAGTGAGAGAAGCAAAAGACGATGAAGGAATATATTAAAGTAGAGGAGAAAGAAAAGGAATTAGAAAGCCTAAGAAATTGTAAATGAAAAAGATATTGAAGCAGAAAAAGAGAGGAGATATCGACAAAGAGATATTTGAAAGAGAAGAGAAGCCTAAATTTAAGAAAGACATGAAGAGAAAAAAGAAAGATAAAGACCAACAAGGGAAATAAATAAGAAAAGAAAATAATCAGGATAAAAAAAACCCAAAAGAAACAAAGAATGAAAATGAAATACATTCTGTGACGACAATGGCGTAGAAGGCTACACATCCCACCTACGTGTGCCACAGCCTGTCGCTGGCAAAATGCCGCTGGTTGGTTCTAACTAATTCTTATGCGTTTCTTCTTTGGCACAGTTATTGGGATCAATTGCTCAAGTCAAGTCGTGACGTAATCAGGAAAGTGAAACATTGCAAGGCTTTACAGATTCACTATGGAAATAACAGAGGCGTGAACAGGAAGTCAAGTGAATCTGTCCTATCGATTCTATAAAGTATTCAGATCTATCTATCTATCTATCTATCTATGTAATGATACTAATATATATTTATTTATCTATATGCAATTCATTTCGTTATCTAATTTTATCTATTATCACAGTCGGTTCATATCTATCTATCTATCTATCTATCTATCTATCTATCTATCTATCTATTCCAGTCTGCTCATTTCTATCTATCTATCTATCTATCTATCTATCTATCTATCTATCTATCTATCTATCCCGGTCTCTTCATATCTAACTATCTATCTATCTATCTATCTATCTAATACTATTAATAAATATTTGTTTATCTATGCCTCCTTCACTTCACTACCTATCTAGTTTTGACTATCATCATAGTCTACGCTATCTATCTATCTATCTATCTATCTATCTATCTATCTATCTATCTATCTATCTGTGCTTATCTATCGATCTCTTTCGTTTTGTTCTTATACATATCTATCTTTGGGAAGCTGTAGTCGTTTACAAACGTCATTTAGACACCACCTATTGTGATTTGAAAGTACCTCCACACGAATCATTAATTCTCGATTCAAAAGAGGAAAATTGAATATTCCTTATTCTTTTTGTTATACATGTGGAAATGCATGAAACTTCTCCAAGAGAAGCAGAAAAATACTGAATAAATTCGTGTGAAAGATTTCTGTCTTTGTTTTTTGGAATAAAAACACTTCGTTCCTCATATTTTTGATATCATCGAGTTTAACGTCGATTTCCTTTTCCATTCTGGAGCATGGATGATTTTTAGAATGTTTTATGTAAACTAATTTGTCACTGTATAAGTTTGAAATATTGGGTTCGTCCGATTATCGAGACATAAAGTAACCTGCAGGAGCTCAAGTCTCCAAAATGCCATGTTATCGAGTTTTGCGTCATAAGTGGTCAGGAATTAATGCAAGCATTACAGAGAATTTACGATTAATCTGTGTCTGGCCTTTAAGAAAAGGGACACCTCAAAGACTCAAGGTACGAATTGCAGACTTCAATTTCCAGAAAGTAGAGAAATTTAACTAAATGACAAATGTCGTAACCAACGACAGCAAATATAACCTACAAATTCAAAGAGTCACTTGAATTGCAAAAGTACTAATAAATAATAAGAAGCAGAAAAATGTCGTTACAAAGAAGCGATTGTTGAAATCCTATGTAATATCAAAAATCCAAGATCTCAGTGAATGCTCGACATTTTTTTATCATAATGAGACAACGGAAATGTGGTACTACAGAAGGATGCTGAGTATACCGTGGACGGAATATTGTGAGCAATGAGGAAGTTTTACAGAAAATGGTAGCAAAAAGAACACTTCCACTTAGAATTAGAAACAGACATTAAAATCTTAATGGAATCTTACTGAGGAAAGAGGCTTTGGAGAAATGAACGCTCAAAAGACAATATACGGCAAAAGGAGAAAAGTGAAAGAGAGAGAATAAACTACCGAACGAAATTTTGTCAAAGGATGTCAGGAAAAGGGACTGGGAGGAATATCAAAGGGGGCAAATGTTGCTTAGATCTTCAAAGGACAGAGAGCTGTGATCAATCACATCATGAAGGTACCATGATAGATAAAAATATATCTGTAAGCATATTGATAACAATTTTATATAGACATTCATTAGAAATCCCGAAGAAAGCATTATGACAAATTAAAATATGTTTTGCTAACAGAATGGACCGAGAATAGAATCTGAGCGGCTTTTTAATATCTATCTATCTATCTATCTATCTATCTGAGTCTTTCCACTCCTATAAGACAGTGCATTCTGGACAGACTCCTCACAGATGAAAACGAGACTTGAGGCAAAAGAATACTGTACTACAAAATGCTTATGGTAATAGTAATATTAGTCATTTTATCCTAAATGCTTGGCCATCGGCTTGGATCAAAATGTAGTATCCGTTCCCTTAATCTCTAATGGTGATATTCAGTAACGGAGTAGCTAGTGCTTTTCGTGTAATCACTGGCTATCGGATTGGGATCAAACTGTAGTATCTGTTTTCTTAATCTCTAGTGGTAATATTAGCGGTTTCCTTAGAAAGAAAGATTCAGCAATCATTGATGGAATAGCTAGTGCTACTCGCGCTAGAATTTTCTCCACTTCCTCGCCATCGGATTAGGATCAAACTGTAGTATCTGTTTTTTTAATCTCTAATGGCAATATTAGCCGTTTCCTTATAAGGAAACATTCTTATGTCATTATTTTCTCTTCGAGTTACATTTTAGATTTTGCTACTGTTTAAAATCTTCAAGTGTTGTGTTTCTCTTATTTGGTACAGTCTTTTGTTCGTGATTCTGTAGCGCCAGTCCACGATGTTCAAAGCAAAATGATCTTTGCTAAAACCCTCAGGATTCATTCACTCAATTTTCAATGCAGAAATAGAATGGTAATGCTAATATTAGCTTTTTCGTTGTGAGGAATCTTTTAGCATTCATTGTCTGAGCAGAAGTAATGGGGGTTTCCTTTCGCAGTTTCTATTTAATGTGGTGTAGAATGTTGATTATCTCATTATTTTCTCATGTTACATGTGCTATTCCTTTTAATTGTTGCAGCTGTTGGTAGTCATCAGCTGATGTGGTTTCTGTTATTCGGTACAATTCTTTGTTTGTGATTCTGTAGCGCCAGTCCACAATGTTATAAAAGGATGGGCCTCGCCAAGATTGACAGGCTTCACCCACTCAAGTCCTTTTTCAGTCATTGATCTTAGAAAGCGGTTGTATACAGCTGACTGTTTAGTTATTTCCAACGTGGGAGAGGTGCCTTGCATGACAATCATATGAAGGGACACTGGGAATACCGTGGAATGAATATGTAAGCAACGACCAAGTTTGGGGGAAAATAGAAACAAAAAAATCGCTTATACAAAGGGCGTCTTCGAAACTGGGTTTTAATCATAAAGACTGCAAAAATCTGTTTCCCAAAGATATGTTATTGCAAGTGGAACAAGTTCACCAAGAAATTTCTTAGAACTGCTTGAGAATGTTGCTATTTGTAATGCCCCAAAATACTCCAATATCTTGATGCAGATAGGTTCACCAGTTGTCGGTGGGGGGGTCACTCTTCTTCCCGGTCTGTTGAACAGGATAAAAAGGTTTATCCCTTGTTTCTATTTTAGGATACGGTTTCAGCTTCCTCCTAAAGTTTTTTTCTTTCTCTTCCACTTCCACTAGCCTCTTGCATCTTAGTGGCATTATCGCCTTGCTACTTTAAGAAAAAAATATGAGTCGCCTTGAGACGTGTATTATCCTAAAAACTGTTTTAAACCAAAGATTTTATAAATTTCAACTGGCAGTTTTTCGCAAAATGAGTAACAAATACAAACTTTATGGAAACGGCTAATTTTAACATTACCATTATATATATATATATATATATATATATATATATATATATATATATATATTGTCTATTTTAAGTAAATACTTAAA